CCCCACCTTCGCACACGCGTACACGCGTCGTTTAATTCACCGTTACGTCACACCGTTACGACAGAGATTGCACACGGGGTTGCATATCGCTGCATCGGCCAAAAAGAAAACATTCGCAGGAAAGAGAAAAAGCCGCGTCCCCGTTGCCTACGATCGCGAATCACCCACACCAGCTCGCTGGCATTACGCTCGTTACGTAATTACCGGCAGCTAGAAACGAAAGCAGGGGGTGTGCATTGAAAAAAGGAACTCCCCAGTTGAACCCCGAAAAAAAAGGGTTGAAACGCGGCTCGGTGCTGCGCACGAAAACGCACGCAGATCAACCACCACACACCACCGTCCTGCTACCCCGGCCTATAATCGTATCTCGTGCCGGAACACGTTCACACAGTTCACTCCTCTTAAAGCATACACACACGTGCAAGTAAAATTCAACCATGTGCGAATATACCTCTCTCTCGTACACACGTACGTGTACACACCAGTGCCAGGCTCACACGTGTGTACAGATAGAGAGAGAGAGAGAGAGGGATAGTGTGTCTAGTAAGGTAGGTAGGTCCAGTAGAGCGTCCACGTCCACCACGATGAAAGAGAGTAGGGCTTAATCAGTTAGTCGATAGGCAAATTGGCTTAGAGGCAGCGACCGACAGGGTGGTTTACAGAACCAGCAAGCCCCGCCAGTGGCCAGTGGCCGAGTGGCGAATCAACCCTTCGCCGATAAGAGCCGCGTCGTGTCCCCGATCCTTGCTGGGGTTTCCTCGGACGAATCGTGGCTCGAAATTGCCATCCGGTGAAATTGCAAGTGTGATATCTCGTTCTGTATAGCATCTGGTGTACGACTCTATCCAGAACCTCGTTCAACACGCGTACCAGATATATATATACCGGATACACACGCGTTATATGTACAGGTGTACGTATATATATATATAGGAGATAGAGGGAGATATAGATAGAGCAGGTGGAATAGGAATTGGATCGGTGGTAGGTGAACACCGATGATCATTCGGTGATCCAAGTGACCGTCGCAGATCGAGGTGAGCTCGAGCTATCAACTTTGATGGATATTCGAGGGACCTTCCGGCGGATGTGGCTGGTGGGCCGATAAGCTGGCTGTGCTACCGTGATAAGGGACACCGGCCTGGTCCGACGGCGGGGGTGTCAGAGTGCGCGAGACTGCTCGATTGGACAAAGAGGATCGCCACGGTAGAATGTGCAGCTGATCGGTGAGTCTGCAGTACCCTTCGTTGATATCGCCATTCGCTCTGGCGTACCTTCGGTTCGTGCTCCCTCGAGAATGTCCTTCCTACGAGGACCTTTCTCTGGGATAGTCAGAACGTTTACCTGCGATCTCGTCGACGAACTTGTAACCGACAGATTTTCCAGGAAATTCGCCGTTTATTTGTCGAAATCGTGGCCGATGCAATCTAGCGCCGACACGTTTCTAGATTTTAGAAAAGGGAGAAAAGTAACCAAGCGTGGTTTAAGCAAGGTCTAGGAAGAAGCGCGAAAGCTCGACCTAAATTCTCGTCGGGTAGAAGCGTGGATAAAACCACCGTGCACACGGGGGATTCGAAACCATGAGAGAGATTCTCGCGAAACTTGCCGTTTCGTCGGGCCGTTCGTTCCGCTCTGGCGAATTTTTTCGCTCGGAAATTACGTTCTTCCGACATTGACCGCACCACGCTTTGCTTTTACAACTCGCGTCCTTCTTCTATATCTCTCCCCCTCTATCCTTCGCTCTGACATCGTTCTCGATCGAACGTCTGTTTTCCAGGAATGACGAGGCACTCTCTGGTGATCCTATGCTGCTACCTGTACACGCTCTTTGACATGGCGGCCCTACACTTTCCGTGAGTAGGCGAACATGTTTCGAAGCTAACTGGCGCGATCGGAACGGAACACTCGAGATTACATCTCGATCATGTGGCTGGAGAGATTTTCTATACGGAAATCTCTCGAACCTTCTGTCTCGTCGTGTTTCTGTCTCCCTTCCCTCTTTCGATCGCCGAATTAATCGCGATCTCGTGGACGATATCGTCGCCTACTTGCAAGAAGAACGGACCTAACGTCCTTTCCCTCCGATATCTCGATCATTTCTAACGGAAAAGCCAGAAAGGCTCGAATGACACTCTTTGGTATTCTATAAAAATCGGAGAATTCGTTCTCGTTGCAAAGAATGGCGACGATACAAGCTACCCCAGCATCACCCGCGACTGTGTCGAGTTTCAGCGAGGAAATATGCGAACCGGTACTTTCCACGGAGGTCGAAGGCTGGCATATTAAAGTCGATAGCCTATCGTCCAGTACGTTTCGACTTTCGGCGAGAAAGCGCGGGTACCGGTTTTTCCCGAAGATCGAAAGGTAACGCATCCCCAAAATGATCGACATCATCAAACAGATCTCTCTATCTTTCTTTTTCACACACAATTTCTACCTCTCTCTTAATCTAATCACCGCTTCTTCTCTCGCTTTTCCACTTTTCTGCTTTACCAATAGAAATCAAGTAAAAACAAAACTCGCCAACATTTCCCCTACGGTGTTGTTTCATAGGCGTGTTCCGTGTAAAATTCGTCGCGCGGAATGTTTGCTCGGTAAACAGTTATCGTTGAAACGGACGGATTTCTCCGCGTCGTCCCGCGATCGACGTCGTATCGTCGGAGAAATTCGAAGGAAATTCCTGAAAGTCTTGCCGTGGATTATCGGCTTGGCAGGTTTCACGGCGCTATAAGGCGCCACGACTCGTTTGACACCAGTCCACTTGAGCGGTGTGGCTGGATAAACGGACGTCGATCGCGCGAACCGTCTCTTATCGCGGCTTATCAACTTAATAATCACCCGATACACCCGTCCGTCCACGTCTTTCTTACATCGAACGTTTATGCCAACTGCCAGCTCCTTCCTATATTATCTCACGACGAATCATTCGAGATAGATAAATTAAACGTAGACGTAAGAGAAGGTCAGAGAAAGCGACGAAAAATATCGGACTTTCCAACATTCCACGCCCGTCGATAAATCAGCCACGGGTCCGTAAATCAGAAATCTCACGGTCGGAGTAGAAGGAAAGGCGGCAGAGAGCGTCGAATTCGGCGAGGAGACGTTCGGTTAAAATCGAGCCGGTTGTAAATCAGAACGTGGATAGGTTCGAGGAGAGATGATTGCGGCGAAGGAAAGTGGAAATTCTCGGGGAAACCGGATCCGGAGGTCGTAGGTTAGCATATTAAAATGTCCGCATGTAAGGAACACATGTACGTACCACGGCCGGACTTAAAGGTGTGCCAAGCACGAAGACCTATTATGGCTTCTGCGATATTGCTGTTTCATCGGAATCGCGGCAATATTTCAAAGTCCCACTCGCACACCACCGTTCGCGGCCTTCCTTCGCGAGCTGCTCTCCTTTTCGCTCCGTTCTTCCACGTGTCGGAAATATCGCGGATCCTCGCGGGAGAACTAATTAATCGCCGACTGTGACGAAAGACGACGGTACGAAATTTTGCAAATCAGTTTGTCTCTCTTTCGCGGTCGATGGAATAATTTTACGAGCGAGTAGGAGAACCGTTGATAGGATTTAATAAAACAGCGGGAAAGGTGATCGGTCCTAAGATACGCGGAAAGCGTCGTGCACTTTTCCCCTCGATTACCATATTCTATACATAAACAAGTAGCTAATACGTGCCGTCGAAAATAATGCAGGCAAAAGTTTGAACGTGAAGGAGTGTAAGAGAGGAGCGGCGCCGAAAAGCTCGAGGTCGTTTCCGGGAGGAAGACGGTCGCGTCCTGCGCCGGTGCATTCCTCGAATTAGCATATTCTATAAATGCGCAAGTAGCTCGTATGAATCGCCCTTACGGCAGCGTGAGAGCCAAACAGAGGAAACGATAGGACGGTTTTGAGTTTCCTAAGTACGCCACCCTATTCGCGACGCTTTGTCGGCGATCGAACGCATTTGAGCCGAAAGAAAAGGAAAGAATCGCAGGGTGTATCGTCGGACAAAGGTAAGCACAAACAGAACAAGATATGCATTCCCATTCCATCTTCACGACACTTCATCCCTCGAATCGGGCAAGAAAGAAAGAAACTCTGTGACGCGTCGCCAGACAAGGTCTGAGACACCGTAGTCGAAGGAATCAGCGAGAAAGGGAAGTAAACTCGGCCCTACGTGAACGCACGCCGTAACGACGATCTGAATAACCCCGAAGCACGATTCCATCGTCAGCCTCGCTTCTCCTCGCTTCTGCTTTCTTCCAGGGAGTCGGACCTCGAGGAGTACGGGAGGAAAGAGGCCTCGTTGTCGCTCAGGGACATCCTCCCGTTGAACCCGAAGCAATACGACAAGCACAGGGCACCAAAGTTCCTGGGCCAGCCTACCATCGTCTACTTCCACGTGACGGTGCTCAGCCTGGACTCCATAAACGAGGAATCCATGGTAATTTTCTCTCCGCTTAGAGCTATACGCGCTCCGTGCTTTCGTTTAATTAAGACCTAACCCAGACCCGGAGGAAGCCTGCTTGCGCCACACTGTACCACCCTCGGACAGAGGGGAAAACCGGGTGACACAGGGTGACAGAGTGGGGGCCGAGGGGGGGCTGAAGAGACACGCTCGCCTGCCAGTGACGTTTCACACCTTTCGAAACGTTGCGGCCGTGCCGTTTTTCCCGCTAACGCAAACGCAAATTAGGCCAGCTGCCTGTATGGCTGCTGGCTGCTAGTTTTAGTCGACGCTTACAAAATCGGCTGAAATCTGAGAAGCGTCGGGACGTCAACGGCGGAAAGACGGGACGGGTCAAAAGTGACCCGTTGGCGAGCGTTTAAAAGTGAATTTCTGAATGTTCGTAGCTCTGTTTCTAATTGACACAGCGATAAAAGTTAAACGGTGCTTATCCCGACAGTCGAAGGGAAAACCAACGCACTACTGAAACAATCCGTAAGGTGAACGGAGGTGGATGCAAGTCGAATTATACTTTTCGCAGTGAAGCGTGGGTGTTGAAATTTCCGTGCTAACGCTCTATGGAATATATAATTCGCTTTGGGAGCAACTTTATGGGTACGTTGGATGTATCTTCGAACAACGAGTAAAACACCTTTTGGTTTTTGTCGCGATCTCGATTAGAAACGGAGATGCGTCGCTTTCAATTTTTCTTACATTTCTTGAACTCTCCGAACGACCCAATAATTAGAACGCGATTGAAAACTTCGATTCGTATCGATGTGAATAGAAATAAAATAGGAAAGTTGCAAACGAAAATTGCTAATGGGTCACTTTTGACCCGAAGGATCGTTCTAGCGTTGAAACGAAGCAATGGAGGGTGGAATTTGTGGATTAAAATGAAGAAACGACGAACGTTTCTCAAGTTTCTACGTGTGATTTTTAGGAACGAATTGATCTGATTGGCTTTACTTTCAGACGTACGTTGCGGACATATTTCTGGCGCAAAGTTGGCGGGACTCTAGGCTCCGACTTCCGGAGAACATGTCCGAGGAGTACAGAATATTGGACGTAGACTGGCTGCACAATATCTGGAGGCCTGACTGCTTCTTCAAGAACGCGAAAAAAGTCACCTTCCACGAGATGTCGATACCGAATCACTATCTCTGGTTGTATCACGATAAAACCCTGCTCTATATGTCGAAGTAAGATCAATTATAAATCCACCTGTCGCAATTATCGTTCGCTATTTCGACTCGTCGGAGATTCGTTCTTCCTTTCAGATTGACGCTCGTCCTATCCTGCGCGATGAAGTTCGAGTCCTACCCGCACGACACTCAAATTTGCTCAATGATGATCGAAAGTCGTACGTAATGCATCCAATTTCCATAAATCCCTCGCGAGATCCACCTCTCGAGAATTAATTCAAGACGGATTTAACAGAGGCTCGAGATACCTAGATTTGTGTTCGTGCTTCTACTCTCTACGGATTCCTAACGTCTGTTTGTATCAATTGCAAGGCTTTCGCTGATAAAACGAGATGCGGAACGCGAAAGAATGAAACTTTCTACATTGTGAAATCGAAACCTCTATGCCTCTGTTCCGATTTTCGCTCGGTCCCTAAAATTCTTCCTCGGATCCTACACTATTTTAGAACTCTAGAAATCCTTCTTCCTTAGGCTTACAAATTGAACCAAAAAGATCAGATAGAACCGTAATTATCCTTCGACTGCAACGCTAACCACTTGCTAATCTCGATCTCGAGAGATCGATCCATACTGACACGCGAAAACCTGCGACACTTTCAGTGTCACACACCACCCAGGACTTGGTGTTCATCTGGAACATGACGGATCCGCTGGTGGTGAATCCGGAGATCGAGCTGCCACAGCTGGACATCTCGAACAATTACACGACCGACTGCACGATCGAGTACTCGACAGGGAACTTCACGTGCATACAGATCGTGTTCAATCTTCGCCGCCGGTTAGGCTATCATCTCTTCCACACGTACATACCGTCCGCGTTGATCGTGGTCATGTCCTGGATCGCGTTCTGGATCAAACCGGAGGCGATCCCTGCTCGGGTCACCCTGGGAGTGACGTCGCTGCTCACCCTTGGTAAGCTTGTCGCGCTTCACACTCTATTTTCCAAAGTCTTCCTCCGCAATTCTCCATCGATACTTCTCTCGGTACGAGAGACCACTCTAGTCTGCTCGCTGATTTTCCAAACAGTCTTTCCTCTCTCCGCTTCTTTCACGCCGCGACAGATTACAAGTCGGAGATAACGAGGCGTGTCTCTTATAATCGAGGTTTGAAGTTCGAGGCGGCACGCGCGGCGCAGCTTTTCAGCCGAGGGGGTGGGCTGTTTCGTGGTCGAAATGTGTCGACACAGCGACAGAGAGAGAGAGAGAGAGAGAGAGGGAGAGAGGAAAAGGGTGGAGGCGGGAGGGGGATTTGGAACGCGTTCGTTTTTGAACGCGACGCCCGGGATAACGAGGTGTTCTTAAATTGCGAGTTTGGAGTTGACGATACATAGCCAGCCCGGGCTGCTTGGTTTACGCTTTGAAAGGGGACGTGCGAGAGGAAGAAGTTTGTGAAACAGCTCCGCCGCTGCTGGCTCTGTTGAAAGGGGGCGTAAGATGGATTTTCAGGATGGTTATGGACGCTTTTAAAGCTGAAAGACTAGATTTTGATGGCGTTAAACGCCAACCTGTGTTCCCTGTACATGAAAATTCTATTTCAACGAATTAGAGAGGACCGGCGAGCAGCTAACAGAAGAGCAAACAGCGTTGCGGTGTATGGCGGTGTGACGCAACGCCAGGTAGTTCTGCGCAAAGATAGAGCCGATGCTGTTGGCGTTTCAATATTAGCGTAGGGAGCTGGGGAACGAGTTTCGCCTACGAAATCGAAGAAACTAACAGGAGTTCGGACAGCTAGTGACCGAGAAACGTTCCGATGTTTGCTTCCAGCTACTCAGAACACGCAGTCCCAGCAATCACTGCCGCCAGTCTCGTACGTAAAGGCCATCGACGTCTGGATGTCCTCGTGCAGCGTGTTCGTCTTCCTCTCGCTGATGGAGTTCGCCGTGGTGAACAACTACATGGGACCGGTGGCCACCAAGGCGATGAAGGGATACTCGGACGAGGATCTCAGGGAGGCCATCGACGAATTCAAAGTACGCGCGATATTTTCGTTTAACACCTTCGTTGAAAATCGTACTCTCAGCCAGACGCGTGATTTTTCACGCTGTTCTTCGTGGTAGCGCTGTCGACACAGTGTCGACGGTGGCACACGGTGAGGGCCGCTCTGTGTCGACAGTGCTTCGACGTCGGCAGTAAAAGTCTTAATCTTCACGATGGCACTGTCGACACTGTGTCGACACAGTGTCGACGGTGGCACACATGGCAAGTCACTCTGTGTCGACAATGCTTCGACGCCGTCAGCGAAAGTTTTAATCTTCATTGGTGGCGCTGTCGACGCATAGTCAACGATGGCACACGGGGCAAGTCGTTCTGTGTCGACAATGCTTCGACATCGACAACGAACGTGTAACGTTCACTGCAGATTCGCATAGATCGTTAGGCTTAGATTTTTTTCACGTGCACAGTGGTCACGTGAGTGTACACTCTGCGGTGAACTTGACAAGACACAAGTGAAATTGAATAAGAAACCACGGAAATAGAAATGTAGGAGAGAAGTTTTAATCGAAAAGATTCCGAGGTAGAAGGTAAGCAGAAATCGAAACAAGTAAAAAGTATAGTTTGTTCGGGTCTGGCGTTTATTCGCCGGCCAGAAATTAAAATACCCGCATCCAAATAGAAAGCACCGAAAATATTGACACTTCCACCGTCGGCGACAAATTCGCGGCCGGCGTTAATTACCACGGTCGAGCGAGAAAAGTCGCGGTTTCGTGTGCCGTTCTTGGCCGAGAAGGAAGAGAAATTTTCGCGGAAAAGCTGGTGCACAGAGGCGATGGGAGGGGGGTGGTGGCCCGTTTTCGCAGGCAGCGAGCATAATTCATGGAATGGCTGTGGCCGCGGCGCGATCTCGTTTCGCATTCACCCGGGGAATTATGCATCCCGAACTTACAATTAGTAGGGTTAAGCATTCCTGAATAACGCGTGGCAATAGTAAACGGCAGCCGGTTTCCGGTTGCGCGAATAGGGAAAAAATTGATGCAACCGCAGCCGAATTCCCGCTGAAACTACAATGCGAGAAGCACGGTAAAATAAATATAGAGGGGAAAAAAAGGTATCGTAGATGAATGAGAGGGAAGAAAGAAAAAAGAAACCAGGTGGGAGGAAATGTGGTTGCTTTCTGGCCTTTGTTCGACGGTTTTCAGAGGTCAGCCATTTTAATGCGAAATGGAAAAAAAAGAAAAAAGAAACGTCGAATGAAACGTAGCGAGCGCGCCAGGTAAAAATGTAGGAACACTCGGTGTACCTGTGACACTTTGGCAACACCTGACACACTTAGAACTTCAACTTCAGTAGCTCGAAAGTACCACGACTTTAATTAACGCGACGGTTCCGCGGAAATCTGGCGACTTCGTAATACCGTACAAAGACTCATTAAATTAAGGAACAGAAGATAATACGAGCGAGGGGAAGAAATACTCGAAGCTTGTGGTAATTTTGAAAAATTCAACTATATTTCACCGATACATCTTCGCACGTATCGATCAACACGCGAGAGGGATAAAAAGAGAATAAAAATAACGTTATCCACACTTTGTCGAAACGTCGAGAAACAGAGCAAACGTATCTCGCGAGCGTGCTTAATTATTAATGTACCGATATCAAAACGTCTATTTGAGAATGACACAGGCCGGTGTCTAATTAACGGATCCCTCGTAGCGTGGATTTACCATGGAACGCCTTTAAATTCTTCATGTTTCCGCGCGTGTACACGTTTCGCTCTCTGCTCCGGGAAAGCGAAAAAACGCAAACAGATGATTCGAGAGATCGCGTCGATTTTCCCTTTGAACCGTTTTCCATGCGACCAAATCGAATTTCGAAGGCTTCGCGACTGCGTTCCTCACAGAGAATCCCGTCCCGACCGTTAATTTCATCCAGTTTCGTAAAATTAAACGTTAATTATCGCGCGGCATGGAACGCCGGCGGAAGGAAGTGTGGTTTTGGAAGGGAAAACATGAAAATGTGGGTGGAGAGGTACGCGTTGTACGATGAGAAAGGGGGAGAGCTTCGGTGAAATTGAATTTAAATTTATTATGTGATACGATTTATCGAACGCCGTTAAAAGCCTATGACCTAATTGTTCCGCCGAACAAAGTGTGATTTTTTTGCTAATTGTTAAATCGCTGGAAAAATAATATGTATCCTTTCTCCGGTGAAGTAACGAAGGATCTCGAATACAATACTTATATACCGGGTGTCCCAGTTGGTTTTTACAAAACTTTGTCAGTACTTTCTACAGGTATAAGTGAGAAAAAAATGTTATATAAACATAGGTCGTTTGAAGCTTTATTAAAAAGTTATGGCAACAATAGAAAATAGGAAAGGAACTGTAACGGGTGAGCAGTTATTGTGATACAAAATAGGACCAGCGATATGTCTAATCTGTTTATGCGAGCTGTGTTTCCTAACAAAGCGTCAAATGTCACTTCTTCCAGTGTCATTGTTGTCATAGCAACCATAAGTTCGTCGCCATTTTCTTTTACTATTTCACTTTCTTCGCTATAACTTTTTAACGAAGCTTCAAACGACCTACGTTTACATAAAATTTATTTCTCACATACACCCGCAGAAGGTAGCGGCAAAGTTTGGTAAAAGAAAAACTGGGACACCCTGTATATGTATTTATCTTGCGCAGCTTCTCGCTTGCAGTGAAAACAATTGAAGCGGAATTCCTCGTTCGAAACAGTTTAAACTGAGAAAAGAGTCGTTAAGGCGGTACAAAGGAGGGCGGAATACTTTGCAGAGGGAAACGAGAAAAGAATGAAAGAATGGGGGGAAAGGGTAATCGGTGGTTGTGCGTGAAAATGGCGCGCAGCCTCGAAATCGCGAAAAGATGCGTACTCGGTTCGCCAGCGAAGTACCCGGAACAAACATCTCGGGGCGAAATTAGTTCGCCTCGGGCGAAGTGGCAAGTTTTCAAACTCTCTTTACCCGAAGAACTTTGCTGAAAACTTCCGTCCAGTCTGAAGGATGGACCTCGAGGAAATCTTTCTGATCGCTGCAGCAGCAGCAGCAGCAACCTCGACTCTTTCGAATCCCTCGAAATTTGTACTTTCGAGCGGGCTACAAAATACCGGCGCTACTCGAGAGGGGGGAAAAGTGGTAGAATGTAAAGTAGCGAGTTTGAAATTAGATATTGGAAATATATAAGGAATAATACGTCGTAAAATCTGCGTGAAACCGTGAATTTGCCGTTTTACTAGGCTGCGTGCACACTCTAGGGCCGAGGGAAAGATTGTCTCGCGTGCCTTGAATAAGACATGAACCGTAGAAACCCGAGATTAATTTAAGTTTCATTCGGAGGCCCACCGTTTGGACACGGTCCGAGGTTTCCACGGAAATTCGGGGCACGTACTACTCCGGCCGACTTAATAATTTATCGTATCTCGCGAATGAATCGGGTGTGTTCCACGGATACCGCTAGTTTCTCTCCACTTTACACTCCAAACTCTCCCCCGATGATTGCGCAATTGCTAACTTCTGAAAATTTCATGCTAATTGACAGGCATTAGAGCTCCGAGCGAGGTAAACGTCGGAGCAATTGTACTCGTCGACGCTTCCCCTTTGAAGGATTGTCGAAGTGACACTTGCTTCGATTGAAATTCACTTTATTTCTTCAATTTTACTAGACTAAGTTTTCTCGGTGAACATTATCGGTAGTAGTCTGATGTCGAACGTAATTTCCTCGACAGACGCCGATGAGGAACGACTCGGAGAGAAGCAGAAGTCCTGTGAGGCCTGTCACCGTGCAGTACGACACCTGCTGCCAGGGTCGAGCGACCGCGATCTACATCGACAAGGTGTCCAGATTCTTCTTTCCGTTCTCCTTCCTCATTCTGAACGTCGTCTACTGGAGCACCTTCCTGTAGGAGGCCTGCCTTCCTCTCGCGAGGGAACGAAGATGGGAACGAAGATCGCAGGATCGTCGACGGTCTCCAGACGATGGCTTTCGTTCGATCTTTGTTAGTTGCTTCGACGATCGAGAGAGTAACGAAGTACGATATATGGTTGTATCGAGGGAATTTTGAAATTTCATTTTAATCGGAGGACATGCGGATCTACATCGAGAAATTAACAAAGAATCGAACGAACCCGGATGGTTTTTCTACGACAGAAAGTCTGCTAGAAGAATTTTCAGTGCCTTTTATATAATAATGGAAGAAAAAGAAAAGAGTGCCGTGGAAGGCGGCGAGGTAATTGTAAGAAGCATCGTAGGGATTAAGTCGCGTTTAAGGTTCCTCGAAGGTGTACATCGGAATCGAAACGATTCTATACTCACCCTCCTCCACGACGGTAGATCTTCGACACGGATCGGCTCTGTATCACGCTGAACAATCTCCGTTCGTTCATCACACGATTGACCGTTTATTTTACCCGTTCTCTCCGGTTACTTACTCTTCTCTCCTCTCGAGTTTTGCTACAATAGAGACACTCGACGACATTCTTGCACGAGAGTGTATTCCCGCGATCAGTCCTGCATTTCTTGAAAAATGGAAAAAACTTGTGCGAAATTTTCGTCACTTCCGTGGAATATTATACTACGTACTTCGCAGATGTGAAACGATGGAAAATCGATAACACGCGATAACCGAAGTTTCGATAGACGACGTTAAAAGAAAAAGGGAAACGCAGGTCTGCTCGCGGGAACCTTCGGTCGTGCTTACGTCGCTCGCAGAACACAGTTTACTCCATTTTTGTGCGATCGCAGAATTTAAGGACGAATAAAAAGGAAGTATTAATACGTAGAATAGAGTGGTTGATGGCCCCGTCGACTCCGGTCGTTCCCTTCTTCGTCGGGAAAATAAACTGCAAACGAGAAGGCGGGTGTGTGGCGAGGGTGGGGAACGAATGAAAGAGACACGAGACGGTTTGCGAACCAGCTTATATTTATTCTTTCAACGGAGCTTTTTTATTCGAATTTATTCAAGCAGATCCTTGCTTCCCGATGATGGCTCTCTGATCTCTTCGTTCCTGTGTTTCCCCGCTGGTTGGACGGATTGGGACCAAGTTTCAGCATCACGACACCTGGATACACCTGCTAAATTCTCTGTGAAATTTTTAACTTACCATCCTGCCCCTTGACAAAACAATCCTCAAGAATATTTCACGTGAATACAAACATTTATGAAAGAAAAAAAAAACAAACATAAATTAAGTACCTGGTTCCTGAAATCGAGAAAGTAAATCCCAATTAATGGAGGAACAACCGAGCTACGTCATCCTTGCACCCTGAGTTAACGACCATCGTAGCATCGACTATGCATAAACTGGAACAGCGAAGATCGCCGATGAGAAAAGGATTCTCCTCGGACTGTGAGGTATCGGAGATAGAGAGACAGGTAGATCGAGAGATAGGAAGACAGATAGATAGATAGAAAGGTAGAGATAGAGATAGGCAGAGGGGAGAGAAGAGAGAGGCAGATACATAAATAGATAGATAGATAGAAAGAGAGAAAGAGGGAGAGCAAGGAGTGGATCGAGGAGGAAGCGGCGTTGAAAGAAGGAGACAAAGGGCCACACCGTTTTCTCTAACCCCTTGCGTCCGCGGCCCCTCTGGATCGCGGCACTTTTGGCCGGGGCAACAGAGGAGAATCTCTGCCAGTAAACGACCAGCCAGTAATTAATTGGAACGAACACGCGGCCAGGTTCCGGTTGCTGCTGCTTGGTGCTGCTACTGCTCGCGGAGAATAATTAAATCCGCACGTAAGGTGGCGTAATTGTGACGCGGCCGAATGGTCTCCTGCGCTTTCAACGACGACGAGACTCGCGCGGCGGAACGTTGCCACGAAAAGATGTTCCACTTTTTTTCTCTTTCTTCCTCCGGTGCCGCTTAATTAAAACAACGCGTCGTCGACTCTTCTCACGCCTACCAATCCCCCCCTCCGCTTTCCTGCCCGCTTTAATAATCCCGCGGAACTCGAAACGCTCCTTTTCTAATAGGTTTTTAACACTTCCCAGCTACCCCTTCTTTTTCCCACAAACCCTCCTTTAACGTCACTCGCGGTTTCGTCCTGCTGCTCCATTTCGAACGAACGAGCTTCTTCTCCAGTGTACACACACCGCACACCGAGAACGATCAATTTGTTCCCAGCGAAACGAGTTACAACCGATGCGTGTGCATTAACGTTCGATCAGATAGCTGGAAGGTTATCAGGCTGCTCGTGGTTTAAAATAACCCTTCTATCGGGCAAGTTTCGTTGTTAAACACCCCGCGTGTAGGACAATTGAATCCGGAGAAGGCGCGAGGGTGGCGTTAAACGTTATAATTCCCGAGGCAGGTAAATTGTTCGAGTGTACCCGGCTCTTTCTTCATATTTAAATATCCCTGGGCACTTATAACTCGCTCGTTAAACTTAGCGCCATTCTTCAACCCAATTCTCCAATACAATCACTCTTCTCTCCCCTTTCTTCGTTTCACTTCTTTGTCCCGCCGTTGCCAGCAGGTCCTCCTCCTCCTCCTTTCTCACGGTAGTCCGGTGAATTTCAGCCCGGTAATGATAATAATTTTCCGCCGGTCTTTCTCCCGGAGCAATCTGTTTTCGCGTAGCACGCGCCGCCACTTGAGGTCGTTTCACTCCTTGAAAACGCTGCTTTGCGGACCGATCTAACAGCCACCGGCCGCCGCTGTCTCTCTTTTCCCTTCTCCTCGTTCAACCCATCCTAGCTTTTATTTAGAGAGAAAAACGCCGCGAGGGTTGGAGGGATTATGAAAGGGCGACGCACGCCATCCACGAGGACGACTACAATACCAAGGCACGTTTGTCTATGCGCAGGTGTGTGAGTGTGTGCGCGTACAAACAGCTCCGGCCAAGTGTAAGAGGTGAGAGTTTTTAATCATGGCATTTTATCCTGAGAGAGCCTTTGTACAGACGACGAAGATACTTTCGTCTGCTCCACCCCTTTCTCTGTGTTTACAGGGACAGGCTTTCAGCCTTTATACCAGTGAACGTTTCAACTATTTAACCCTCCTTCTCAGTCCTTCACTCCTTAATCCCTTCCGATGGTCCGCACCGCGATGGAAATTTTCACGCGTTCCTCCCATCGTGAATTTTTCTTTTCTATAATGTACACGTACCTGCGAAGGGTGTAGTATTGAATTTATTACGTTAAAGTTGAAATTATGCGAATATCGTCTATGAATTTTCCTCCTTCGTCTTCTCTTCAAAGAAAGTTAATAAGGTTCCACGGAGCCAGGGGCAATTATCGAATTCCACAAGCTCGATCGAGGTACTCTCGCAGAGATCCAGGATACCTAGCCTAGCCCCGAGACCCTTAACGAGATCCCTTCATTTGCGTAATTAACTATCGACTTTCTGTCGACAATCTTGTTAACGAGAAGCCCGCCGATCGTTAATGGATTCCGGCGGGCACAGAGGCGGACACACAACCAGAGACAGCGAAATAATTATTCTCTACTTCCGGATACAACTCGGAAAGCGTCCGGTCCACGTCGAAAATATAACACGGCTGCGGAAATCGATTCGTTGCCTGGCGTTTCCGTCCAACGATTCGGTAATTGCGGGCCTCCTTTGAATCGTTCTTGTCCATGGTGAGAGAGAGAGAGAAAGAGAGAATTCCATTCTACTCTCTCTCTCTCTCTCTCCCTCTCTCTTTGTCAGAAATAATCGGGGTAGGTTGAGCGCCTCTCAATTAAACCCGTATTCCTGGGCCGAGGTAAGAAAGTATGCGCTATTATCGACAGAGCTGCGTCAAGAGAAATTCGGACTGCTTTCCGTAAAAATATTATTCGACACGGTAACCCAGATTCGAGTGCACCATTCAATAGTAGGATGAAAAGTCTGCTCGAGAATTGTTCGACAGAATTAGCGAACGAAAGAAAGATCCGGCTGATTTATGGGCTGCAATCGCGACGAAAATTTCATTGCTTCCTGTGAAGATCATCTTGTCGAATCTAGGTGAATTTTTCAAATAAATTACCCTCTCTCCTCGTCTTCTTCTCTTCTCTTTTCAAACTTCCCGCCAAATCTTCATTTATTTTCTCTCCTTTACTCCTCACTGTTCTCTCGTCGAAAATTCTTCCCATTAACGTCCTTGATACGCGGTTTGAAAAATAAACTATTCCCTCTTCTTCTTACCTATCTTCAACGTCGATTTTCAAATTTCCCGCCAAACCTTCTATAATTAATTATACGTAAGTGTCTTTTTATTTCGTCTCATTTGTTCCGCTGCTCGCTCTTGTTAATTCCATCCCCGTTCTCCCGTCGGAAATTCTTCCCATCAGCGCCCTTGACCAACAGTTTGGAAATAAACGCGATCCGCGGTTGGAAAAAGCGGCGCGAACACTGTCCACGATCCAGCCATAAATTCCACGGCGGAATGACGTTTACGCTGCGGCCGGCAAACACCATGGCGGACCCCGTTTAAGCCTTCGAGTGGCTAACGAGCACGTCCTGTCCGTGTACGCGCAAACATGAATCAATTTCCCGCGTAAACGCGCTTGCACTGCCCCCCACTCTTGCGGTCGGCTTTCCGCAAACACCAATTAATTCCGTTGCTACGTGTTTTCTTTTCGATGCACCGCTATGGAATTCGGGAACGTTTCATTTTATCCACGAACCCGGCGAAAGTTCGACGACTCCGTTGCTATCGGCCGTTGTCAGTCGGCGTTGTTCAAGGATCGACAGGGAAGCCGGAAATTTCTTTCGGTTGTAAAATTGGGTAAAATACAAACCCCGCGGAAATTGCTTCCTTTCGAAATCAGAGAAACAATTCTCGATGTCGAAGGATCAACGGGCAAGCTGGGTTTCTTTCGGTTGAAGAAATTGGGTAAAAGAAGCTCCTGAGAGATTTCTTTTCTGTTGGAACGAAATAAGAATTCTTGATGTCTAAGGATCAACGAGGAATCTGG